TACATTGTGAGTAAAGCAGCTTTGAGATTTTTTAAAATTTAGATTTACAATAAGACCTCTCTACAATAGACCTTTACTTAAATGCAATACATTTGCAGCACGGTGGTAAAGGGCCCCTTTTCACGCCCCTCTCTCTGACTGGCTCTGAGGCCTTGCGCATGCTACCTCACCACTCCGACCCTCTCATCATCAGTTGTAACAATGGGACCTGCCATAATGTCATTGGCTTTTTAGCCACGTGGCCTCTGCTCCCCCTCCCTTCTGATAACAGAACCGCAATCAGCTGCTGGGGAGTCGCTTCCACCCGGAAGTGCAGTCTTGGGGGGCCTTTTCATGAAGGGGGTCTGGCCGCCTGTAGCCAGAAGCTGGGCAGGGAGGGTCTCTTCTGCAATTTCAATCTTGAGTGGAGTTAGGCAAGGACTGAAAATCCTTTTTGGTTGAAGCCGTGAGTCTCCCAGGAAGGCTACAATGAACAGACAACTTAGAGAAGCTTAATCAGAGTCGGATTCTCTTGCATAAGAAGGTGGGCAGCTCCTGGCATTGGTTCAGCTGCTCAACACCATCTCGGTGGGTGCATGGCATGTTCTGGGTCTTTCCCTCATGTCACAGAGTGAGCTCGGACTGCCAGGTCCAAGGCAGGAAGAGGAGAGGAAGGGGAAGCTTCAGTTGTTTCTGTCCCTCTTACTAGGAAAGTAAAATTTTCCCAGAAAGCTGCCAGCTATTTTCTGGTCATGTCTTCTGGCTGGAAATGCCTCAGGGCCACCCCCAGCTGAAAGGGAGACTGGCAAAGCTGTTTTGTTTTTTCAGCTTCTATAGGGAAGGCTGTCGGGAATAGGGTTGAAAACAGTCATTGAGAACAGCCAGCCAACTGAAGAGGCCATTGGTTCCCTCCTGCTACCCAGATTCCTAAAGTTGCCCTGGTCTCTGAACCCTCAAAACCAAATTCATTTTTTTTTTAATATTTTTTTATTGATTTCAGAGAGGAAGGAAGAGGGAGAGATAGAAACATCAATGATGAGAGACATTGATCAGCTGCCTCCTGCAAGCCCCCTACTGAAGATTGGGCCTGCAACTGGGTATGTGCCCTGACCTGAATGGAACCATCACCTCCTGGTTCATAGGTCGATGCTCAACCACTGAGTCTCCCAGGCCGGGCTCAAAACCTAATTCTTAAGCTTTCAGTTCCATAAACTATCTCATTGCCCTCTGTATGAAATCTCCGGATCAACCTCTGTTGCCTGTGAGCAGAAAAATTCTGAGAGACCAACCCTCTAGGTCCGGGGTCCTCAAACTACGGCCCGCGGGCCACATGCAAATACAAATATTGTATTTGTTCCCGTTTTTTTTGTTTGTTTGTTTGTTTTTTACTTCAAAATAAGATATGTGCAGTGTGCATAGGAATTTGTTCATAGTTTTTTTTTTTAAACTATAGTCCGGCCCTCCAACGGTCTGAGGGACAGTGAACTGGCCCCCTGTTTAAAAAGTTTGAGGACCCCTGCTCTAGGTGTTACTGCCAGGATAACTTGAGAACCCAATGTAGTAACTGGTAAAGTGAGTGTTAGCTACAATTGTTTTACCCAGGGTTGCACAGCTAGTTGATGCTGGTTGATGAGACTAAACTCAACTCTCTCATAATCCAAGTCCCTGCACTCTCCATTCCAATACTGCCTCTCAGGCTTCAGTTCATTAAAAAATGTGCTGACTCTGCGAGTGCCTGGGAAAACATCTGCCAAGGGAAATAAGAATAAGGGCGGGGCTGCATTTTTTTTAGAAAGGTTCTTGAAATAGTGGGTATTGTGAAGGGACGTAGAAATGTGTGGGCCTTCAGCTCCTGCCCAACACAATGGTGAATTCAGATGAGGAATAAAGACTGTTGGTGCTCCTCACATAGCTAAACCCTTGAATTGTGACACAAACAACTTCCAGTTAGAGCCTGCCCTCTGCGAGCAAGAGAAAGCCAGCCAACGTGAAGGTGACCCTGCTCTGAGAGCCAGGGGAACTGGTGGGAGGCTGTAGGAGGGAATGGCCAAGAGGCAGGGAGCTGGGGCCAGCCCATGGGTTTGAAATTCCAGTTCTGATGCTAACCAGTCCCAGAGCCTCAGGCAAGTTACTCAACCTTACCTGCCTCTGTGCCTCCGAATGTGGGGAAAACAGCTACTGCTTAGGTTCGTTGCAGTGAGCAAAGGAGTTAAGACAAGTGCCCTGCTCGCAATAGCCTCTCTGCTTTTGATGTCACTGTCTTCTGCGGGCCAGCAGGTAATCAGCTTCTAGGTGTAGGGCTTGCTAAATTACCTGGAGTGGGTCCAGTTGTCAGGGAGGGACACCCCCTCCCCTGCTCCACTGACCTCATCCATTTGCCAGGGCTTAATGGTGAATTAAGGAATCCACATAAGACCGTCTAATAATCATAGTCACCTACTATGTGTCCCAGGTTTTGCTTATACATGTTTTCATCACCTGCATCAACTTTGTGTGGTAGATCTTGCCTTCATTTTATGGCTCAGAAAACAGATTCCAAGAGCTGACACGACTTTCCCAGAGTCACAAAGAGTCCTGGATTCAAACATGACTTTTGTCTTCGTATGTTCAGGCTGCTATAACAAAAATCCCATAGACTGGGCGGCTTAAACAAAAAACATTTATTACTCACCGGTCTGGTGGCTGGGAACTCCAAGATCAAGAGTCCAGTAGATTTGGTGCCTGGTGAGAACCCATTTCCTGGTTCATGGATGGTGGTCTTCTCACTATGCCCTCACATGGTGGAAGTGGCAAGGGAGCTCCCTGCAGTCTCTTTACCAAGAGCACTAATCCATGGGTGAGGGCTCTGTCCTCGTCACTTAATCACCTCCCAAAGGCCCCCACCTCCTAATAGCATCTCACTGGGGCTTAGGTTTTCAACATAAGAATGGGGGGAGGGGGGGAGGGGCGGGGGCGGGCGGGGGAACGACAACACAAATACTCATTCCATAGCAACTCTGCTGTATCCAAGCCACAAGTTCTACATGCTCCTAAAAGCTGTCCCAAGCCAAGGCAGGCATGGGCAATTGTGACATCCCCTTAGAGAGGCAGAGAATCTGGTGAAGGTGTGGTCGTTGGCATTCTGTCCAGGTGCAGAGCTAAAGTGGTGGAGAGGAAGTGAGACTTCTAGGGGAGCAAGTGTAGTCAAACCCAAGTTCACATACCCAACACACAGTAATACCAATCAGTAAAGCAGTGAGTATGCAACAAGGAAAGAGTTTATTTTTGAGAGGCAGCAAACAAGGAGACAGGGTTTTGGAAGCCCAAATCCATTCCCCAAGAGGAAAACGAAGACAAGGGGTTTGAAGGGGGACTTCACAAGCAAAGAGAGAGGAACTAAGTGATTCTAAATCTAATAAATGATGGCATGTTACTAAGCTATTAGAAAAGATGAAATACTGTCATTTGCAATAACATGGGTGCATCTTGAGACTAGCACGCTAAGCGAAATAAGTCAGATGGAAAAGTCACTCCTATGTGGATATACAACAAAGCAAGAAATGATCAAACAATTGGGAGGCAGACAAAGGAGAAGAGGGTTGATTGAGAATGGCCATTAGAGCCAACCCATGTTCCTGCCAAATTTCCCAGTGCTGTGGGAGACTCTGGAAAAGGGACCCTGCTATGGATGGTAATAAATCTGAAGGGAGAGTGTCTCCAATGGGATGCAGTTTAGTTCTCTTCCAAACACATTCATCATCAGGAATGAACAGGCAACAATCTAACCACTGAAAGGAAATCCTGCCGAACCTATCCCGAAGAGCCCACACCCTTTCCTTGGTACTTTGCTCCAAGATCTCTTGCATGAGTAGCCAGGATTAGTCAGACTGAGGGGAGGCAAATTCCCATGAAAGCCTTGGCCTAACATGATCTAATGATCATGGGTGTGAAGGAAAAAGATGGGTAGGGGCCAGTTTAGGCTGCTGGCCAGTCAAGATCTGAGTCAGTACCAGCTGTGCATGTGTGTATGTGTGTGTGCGTGCATGTGTGTATGTGTGTGGTGTGTGTGTGTAGCAGCAAAGGGAGTCGGATATCCAAGCTAGATGTCTTTGGGCAAGTTGTTTGACGTTTAAGAGAAACAGGCTGCCTCCTACAGTTGCTTGTGATGACCAGACAGAAAACGGAAAGGTGTGTGTGAAGCACTTGTAAACTTAGAAACTGTCCAAACGTAAAGGGCTTGTCTCACACTGAGCAGCTTTTTCTTCCCATACTAGCTGGTCCAGCCCAAGGTCCTGTAGTGCTGAGCATATAATTGGACTCGGCAGTCGATCAGTGATTTTCATCATTGATCTCTCCCCCACCACCCCTTCCATCCTCTCTGAAATCAATAAAAAAAATATTTAAAACAAAACAAAACAGTGTTCTGGGAACTGGAAGGGATCAGAATATACCACCCCCAAATATGCCATTTTGGCACAGGGATTATTTTAATCGAAGGTAATTGAGAAACAGAGGACTCAGCGTAAAAGCAGGGCATAATTTTTTTCTCTTCCTATAAACGGAGAGGAAAACTGAAGTTTGTTTTCTCTTGCAGTTCGGGCCAGCTCTCCACTTGGGGCTTTTGTTTGATGTCATGTTTGACTGTGACAGCTCCGGAGCAAGGCTTGTGGAATTTAGGGGCGGTGGGGAGAGCAGGGGGCTGAGCCCGGCTTAGGGCTGGAGGCGAAGGGTGCTGTGGTCCAGCGGAACCAAGGGGTTGGGCCGGGCATTAGGACCCGCCTGCGGGACTTCACACTCGCGCCCCACTGCGGGTGCCTGTCTCACTCCAGGGGCGCGGCCTGCCACCTGCCAATGGGCGTGGCCACATTCTGGGGCGTGGCCACCCGGATCTTAGAGCCCCGCTTGTTGGGGGCGGGGCTAACACGAAGGGGTGGGGCCGAGCCCCTCGGGGCGTGGCCTGTGGAATGTCAGAACCCGGCCACTCGAGGCAGGCGCGGGTCTCCCGGCGCGGGGTTCCTCCCACGCAGCCTCCCATTCAAAAGATGCCGAAGGGGCGGCGCGGCCGCCAGAGCCCCACGATGAGCCAGCGGCCGGCCCCGCCCCTCTATTTCCCGTCCCTCTACGACCGCGGGGTCTCCACGTCCCCGCTGAGCGACTTCAATATCTGGAAGAAGCTCTTCGTACCGCTGAAGGCGGGCGGGCCGGCGGGGGGCCGGTCCCTGCCCCAGGCGCCCCCGGCCCCGATGCCCCTGCCGCCACCCCCGGGCCTGGGTCCCCCCAGCGAGCGCCCGTGCCCCCCGCCCTGGCCCTCTGGCCTGGCCTCCATCCCCTATGAGCCTCTGCGCTTCTTCTACTCGCCGCCGCCAGGGCCCGAGGTGGCTGCCTCGCCCCTGACCCCTGGCCCCACGCCCTCCCGGCTCGTCTCCGCCTCCCACCCCGAGGAGTTGTGCGAACTGGAGATCCGCATTAAGGAGCTGGAGCTGCTCACCATCACTGGGGACGGCTTCGACTCTCAGCGCTGTGCGTGACCTCCCCGGGCAGCCGGGGCCCACCCCTGGGCGGCCTTGACTCCATTCTTGGCTCCATGTCCCCCTACCGAGGTCCTCCCCAAATGTGGCCTCGGGCTCAGACTCCAGCACCCAAGTGTCCCAGATTTCAAGCTGATCCCCCAGAACCCAGATTCCCCCCCAACCTGGATTTCAACTGACTCTTTTCCTCCAACTCCATCCTCCCTCCATCCTGAGCCCCCAAACCTGGAACTCCACCCACCACCAGCCTCCTCCTGAGCCTTAAGCCTCTTGCACAGTAACACAACTACCCCTGGAGACACACGCACCACAGGCAGCCCCTTTCTCTAGAGACCGAGATTTAGCATTTATCTTCAACTGGGATCCTGGGCGGGAAGTGGGGGAAGTAGGGGCGGGTTGATTGGAGTGTCTTAGGGGGCAGATGGGAATTGTGCAAGACCCAGGAGGCCCAAGGACAATGCTGGATGATAGCTTCCCTGGGACACTCCCAGCCCCTTCTACCTCCACCACCCCCACCCCCACCCCCACCTCCACCCAGTAGCCCTCTCACCAGGGTCCTGAACTCTGCCATCTGATCTTAGGTTTGAAGTCTCTGGGATCTTACTTAACCAGGAGACCAGGTGTGCTGATGTGGGTGGGATTCCTGGAGCATGCAAGCTGCTGTGGGAGAGTAAAATCACACACAGTCCAATTCGACTCCCGGAGGACCTATTTGCTCTGTAGAATGTTCAGTAGCCATAGGCTGTTCTGCAGACTTTGTTTTTCCCATCACCTCTTCCAACTGTGGCTAGCACTTGAAGGCGAGCAGATGGTTCTCAAAAGACCATCCCCATTATTCTATAAAATTGCCCCCACCTCCCACACAGAGAAGGGGTATGAAATAACCCAAATGTTTAGGTCCATGAGGCAGCAGGTCTCTAGAAACAATTCCTAGAACACATGGACTTTTCTAAGTCCTGGATTTCGCAACTACGTATTCTCCACTTATACACGTTTTGGATCATAGTGGATTTGGGGCTCCTGTAGGGAGCACACGGTTGCATTCGCAGCATTAGTAAAAGCCCTTATCTCTACTCAAGTTAAGTGTGTCTTGCTCTCCTGCAGATAAGTTCTTGAAGGCGCTGAAAGATGAGAAGTTACAAGGACTGAAGACCAGGCAGCCTGGAAAGAAGTCAGCCTCTTTCTGCTGAGGCGCTGCCCACCAGAGCCTGGGCAGCCACCTCCTTAGGTGTTAGTGCTTAGATAATGTGTCCTGTTCGTTGTCATTTCAAAAATTGTTATTTTCTGTTCTGTATTTACTGCTGTTCTTGTTGCTCCCAGCATGTACTCCACATACAGTGCCCACGTGGTAAATCTCATGGTGTGTCTCCTCTCTGTGCTGTGGCTGGGGAGCTTTCTCACGGGGTCTGGAAGCTGCTGCCCTGCTGGCGTTCAGGGGCTCCCAACACCAGGGGAGGGGCTCCCAACACGGCCATGTCAGGAGGGAACTGGGGAAAACCAAGGGCAACATATATTTGGTCCCGTTGCTGTGTCCCGGCTCAGAGGGGCTCTTGAAGGACATGGATGTGTGTGTTTTCCAACAGCTTTATTCCTTGGAAGTGTTTTGTTTTTTAGTGGTTTTTGGACCACAAAACTCTGTGATGATCTGATCAAAGCCAAGGTTCTTTCTAGAAATCAACTTACTCAAGAAGTAGTTGAGAGCTGATTCTGTGCCAGGCACCCTCTGGGGCTCTTGTGACCAGGGATGGGGGAGACACAGATACTGTTATAAATAGGGAAATTATAATATGGTATCATAGATGATAACATACTAAGAGAGGAGGGGAAGAGTAGGGACAGGAGGGTCAGCAGAAAGCAGGGTAGAATTTCAAATATGGTTTCCTGAAGAGTTAATGTGTAAGCAAGGTTTGAAGGTGGTTGATGGTGATAGCCATGTGGCATCCTGGGAATGTTCCAGCAGAAGCACCAGTACAAAGGCTGAAGGTGGGAGCCTGCTGGGATGTTGGAGGGTCTGCAAAAAGCCAGATGGCAGGTAAACACAATTCACCATCTTAAATGGAGGAGGAGTGAGAGGAGAGTGGAAGGGCTAATGCAGAGAGGGTCCATTCATGCGGGACCTTCCAGCCATGGTAAGGACTCCGGGTTTTACTCCAAGTGGGAGGGGGCGTGGGTAGAGGATTTTCAGCCAGTGAGAGACAGGATCTGACCGTGCTGCTGGGTTGAGAGCAGACGAAGGAAGGAAGGAAGCAGGGGAAGCAGTTTGGGCTGCAGTAATTAATAATCCAGCTGAGTGACAAGTGGCGGTACAGCCTCATCTTCCCTTTGCCCTTTGCGTGGTGAGAGGTGTCTGTGGGGCACCTGCTGCCACCACCAACCACCCTCCCCACCCCGCCCACTTGCCAGGTGCTGTCTCTCTGGTGAGGAACAAATGGGAGGAGTGAGATCTCCGTGACACAAGCACACAAATAAAGAAAAATTATTTTGTGAAACAAATCTTCAATCAAGTATAACATTTAAAAAATATATTTTTTTATTGATTTCACAGAAGAATGGAGAGGGAGTGAAAGAAACATCAATGATGAGAGAGAATCATTGATCCGCTGCCTCCTGCATGCCCCACACTGGGGATCGAGCCCACAACCTGAGCATGTGCCCCGACTGGAAATCAAACCATGACCACCTGGTTCCCAGGTCGAAGGCTCAACCATTGAGCCAAGCTGGCTGGCCGCTGGAGACATTATTAGATATTCAAGGTCATTACCCCCTTGAGGGTGGCTCTTGTGTCTCTGGGGAGTTCAGTGCTTAATTTCTACATAAAATTAAACCAAGCAATTAGCGCTGAGTATTTGCTGGAGATGGTCAACCTGGGAGGTGATGACATCATCGACAGCCAATGAGAAGGCTCCATCTGAAGTGCGAGGGTGCTCCCCCCTCCTGACACCAGGATGGGTGACCCAGAGGGCCCTGAGGACTAGTTACTGGCAGGAACAAGATGCCCAAGGCTCTGGGAGGCTCCAGGCACAGGAGCCGAGCACTCGGGCACTTCTGGGCATTATGAATAGGAACACATTTTTTTTCTGTCCCAGGCAGGCAGAGAATCTGGCCCATTTCACACATTGTATTTCCACCAAGTGCTCAAAAAGCCGAGAGTGCAGCCTGGGCTCTGTGGCCTCTCCCATTGTTATAAGGGTTAGCCTCTCCCATTGTTATAGGGTGCGTTAGCCATAGAGACGCCAGGCTGCCCTATAATTAACATGGCAGGCAGGCAAAGGCAGCCACAGCAGGTGGCAGGCTGCCAGCCCACAGGCCACCCTCTAAGCCAGCGGTTCTCAACCTTGGGTCGTGACCCCTGAAAATACATCCTGCATATCAGATATTTACATTACGATTCATAACAGTAGCAAAATTACAGTTATGAAGTAGCAACAAAAATAATTTTTTTTTAAATATATATTTTATTGATTTTTTACAGAGAGGAAGGGAGAGAGATAGAGAGCTAGAAACATCGATGAGAGAGAAACTTCGATCAGCTGCCTCCTGCACATCTCCCACTGGGGATGTGCCCGCAACCCAGGTACATGCCCTTGACCGGAATCGAACCCGGGACCTTTCAGTCCGCAAGCCGACGCTCTATCCACTGAGCCAAACCGGTTTCAGCCGAAAATAATTTTTATGGTTGGGGATCACCACAACATGAGGAACTGTATTAAAGGGTCGCGGCATTAGGAAGGTTAAGAACCAACCTTCCTAAGCTAAGCAGAGATCAAAACCTTCCGAAACACCCCAAATTCTGAGGCTGTGCCCTCCATCCCCTCGGGAATATTCTCCTGGAACCCTGACCGTGGAAGGGAAGTCCTTGCAGTTTAGGGAAAAGAAATTGCGCCTTGAAAGGAGGTTAACGCCGTTCCTAAATGGCCACCGACATTCTGCTCTTAACCTACGGGTCTCAATTTCGAACTTTTTTCTTTTAAATATGTTTTATTGGTTTTTTGCAGAGAGGAAGGGAGAGGGATAGAGAGTTAGAAACATCGATGAGAGAGAAACATCGATCAGCTGCCTCCTGCACACCTTCTACTAGGGATGTGCCTGCAACCAAGGTACATGCCCTTCACCGGGATTGAACCTGGGACCTTTCGGTCTGCAAGCCGATGCTCTATCCACTGAACCAAACTGGTTAGGGCTCAATTTCAAAATTCAATAAACCGGGCAGCGCTGAAAACCAGGCATTTTAAGTCCAAGTTTGGTGTGAGGTTCTGTTTTTGTTTGTTTGTTTGTTTGTTTTAAGGTTATTTTTATTGTTGACACTGTTACCCATGGAGGTTTTGTCTTCCTGGGCCGGCTGGGGCTGTGCTGTAAGTAGAATCTGACAGCCGACTGTTAAATGTTCAATCGTGATGTGAATGGTTATGAAGGAGAAGCGGGCCCTTTAAGGACCCCGGAAAATGTGCCTACTCACATGTTTCATTTCTCTGACACGTAGGAACCTTTTGATGAAAAATAATGGCTCCTCCGCTGGCCACGCCCCCGCCCCGGCGCCGGCTCGCTCTGCCCTCAGCGACTCCAGGTCTGCAGCACCAGTGCAGGCTCCAGGCCCCCTGGCCAGGGAGCTGGGCAGGCCTGCGGGCCAGGTCCATGGCCCAGGCTCCTGGCCCAGGTTCCAACAAGGTCCATGGCCAGGGCTAGGGCTAGATGAAGGCCTTTAAGAAAAAATTTTAATTGCTTGTTTGAGAAACGTGGATTTGTTGTTCCACTTACACCTGCTTTGGTTGAGTCTTGTCTGTGCTCTGAATGAGAGTCAACCCTCAACCTTGGCCTATGCCAACGCTTTAACCAACTGATCAAGACCTTTAAAACCTAGGAAAGTTTATGGTGTCCTTCGATTTGTTATTGAGAAAAGAAAAAGAAAGAAACTGCAAGACTTAGATTTCCCCGTGTGTTGTTCTTTTACTATTGTATTAAAATGTATTTCAAAAGTTTTTTGTGCACATGCCAGCCTCACACTGGGCCCTGCTGTTTACTGGTTGGATAATCCTGAGTGAACTACGTACTGTCGTTTTCTGATCAGTAAAACCATAGAGCTTACTTTATTAGGTGTTACAAGGACTAAATGAGATAATTCATGGAAAGGGCTCAGTTTGGCCCCTGATATGTGGGGACCAAATGTGGCTGTTCATAGTTCAGTTCCCCATGTTCCCCACTGGGGACAGCTTACTCCCGTTCTCCAAGGCGGGCGGGCACACAGAGAGAGGTGGCAGTGTTCCCCAAAATGTGGGGAAATGTATGACCCCCAAAGCAGATAGGAAGTTGCCTTACTGTGGACCAAACATGCTTGAGATTTGTGGCTTCTGTATTTTCAAAGTAGAAACGGGAGATTGCTGAACTTTCTTGTAAGAAACATCCCATTAGGCTGAGTGGCTTGGAAGATAAAAGCCCAAATAGAATGGATTTTAGGAGAGGACAGTGGTTATCTACTGGAATTCATCTTCAACAGCTCCAAGTACAACCTCTTAAAAGGATCACATTATCCCTAACTGCTTTGGCTCAGTGGATAGAGCGTTGGCCTGCGGACTCAAGGGTCCCAGGTTTGATTCTGGTCAAGGGCATGTACCTTGGTTGTGGGCACATCCCCAGTAGGGAGTGTACAGGAGGCAGCTGATAGATGTTTCTCTTTCATCAATGTTTCTAACTCTATCACTCTCCCTTCCATTCTGTAAAAAATCAATAAAATATATTTTTTAAAAGATTAAACAAAAAAAGGATCACATTAAAAATTCTGGGTCAGCTCTTGAACCTCAACCAGACAGTCACAAACAAACCTAAGCCCAGAGGTGCTTGAGTTTTTCTAAAGAAGATGATGTTTTTTGCCTGCCCCCAGAGATTCATTAAATGGTTGGCTCTGGGAAATATCTCATTGAATAGCTGGCTCTGCAGTTATAATCTCCGAGAGAAGGGCCATGAGTAGACTCTCTGTAATAAGAGGCCCTCTGGAAAGTCCTGGAACACATTTCCGAGAAGGCCCTGGTAACAGAAGCTTCAGGTTTGTGTGTTTAGGGCGGTCTGGGGTGGTTGACTCTGGCAGTAGGACCTCAGAGTGGGAGGGGCTGCTCATTATGATGTGGCTTTTTGTTTGTCTCTCCCTACTGATGTGGCAAACCTCCAAGCCCTTGACACTGCTAGTCACCAGGTAATGTTAATAAGTTATGAGTTACCAGACCCTGGTGAATAGAAGTGTGATCCACCCAACTGTGGCTTTGCAACTCATCTGTTGCCTTGGGACAGGTAACTTCATCCCCCAGGGCCTCCATTAATGAACTATAAAGTAAGAACATTGGGTTTTATCTTTGAGGACTCATCTAGTCTTAAAGTTCATCAGCTTTTGAGGCCCCAGGCTCCCAGGAACAGTAACTATACTCTTGGGCATCTGTGAATCTCTTCCCTGGTGGTCTCTGTCTAGCAAGTTTATTTCGGAAGCTGAATTCACAAGAAGTCTCCCCACTAGAGAGTAACTGTGGTGAAGCACTCACACCAGGTCTTAAATACTGTTCTACCATGTACCGGTTTTGAGGTGAGTGCATTAGTTTAAAATTGGGGCTGAAACAGATCACTGCACACTTAGCAGCTTGACACACAAGTATGACTCTTACAGTTTGTAAATAAGAGCCTCACCAGGTTCAAGTCAAGGTGTTGGCGGGGCTGTGATCCTTTCTGGAGGCTTTTTGGGAGAATCTTGTTCCTTCTTTCTACTTAGCACAATTACAGTCCTTGTGGTTGGAGGACTGAAGTCCCATTTCCTGGCTGAGTGTCAGTTGAGGACAGTTTTTAGCTTTCATAGGCCGCCTGTTTGCCTCAGCTGTGGCCCCCTTCTTCTTTCTTAAGAATCAGTAGTAGGTGAAATCTATCTCACTCTGAAGCTCTTGCCTCTTCTGTTTTCCCGTATCTCTGAGACTGCTGCCTTCCTCTTCCTCTTAAATGTAGTCACCCAGTTTATTTTATGCATTACAATCAAAGGAGGTGACATACGGGGGAATCCATGAGATTCATTGGTGGTAGATTAGGGAGGTGAGAGAAAGCAAAGCTTATTTACCTTGGTGGGTTGAGGATGGTTAATAATTAACATTTACAACACATAGGGATGGTATTCAGGGAACAAAATAACAATGAGGAATGGTTCTGTGGCTTCGTGCTCTGGTGTGGTGGGTGTGCCCTAAAGGGTCTGGCAAAGGAGAATACTCTAAATTCCAAAGCTGTGTTATCTTAGATACAAAAACAAACAAACAAACCCAAAACAACAAAAAAAAACCCAAGATAGGTTCCTTAAGGTAAAGACTAACTTTTGACAAGGAAGCTGTAGGCCTATGACATGACTACCTGCCATGACCTGCTTTTAATTAGGAATTTTTATGTTCAGACCATCCCGTATGGTTACTTCAGTTTCTGAGTTTGTAGGGCCTGCCACGTAGGACTCCACAAGCTTGTCAGGTTTAGTATGTGGGCCCCTTTTTTCCACAGACAATTAAAAATCTCCGTGTCTCTTGACTTCTTAGCAGACAAAAGAGGGTTTAAGGCATTCTAGCCCTCCCTCCTGTCCCCTGATGCCCACTGCTACACATCTAGGCATGAATGTAGTGTGTGGACTAGTCATCAAAGTTACCTGAGTAGGAAATAGGCCTCTGTGATCCACCTTCAGCATAGTCAACTTTTAGTGGAGAATGCCAATAGCATGTTGCCAGTTGGTTACTGAATTTCCCAGGGCAAACAGGATTAGGAAAGATGGGAAAGAGGATGAGAACAGGCTGTGTATGTGGCCAGCAGCACATTCCCAGGAAGATCCACCAGTCATAGTTAGACAATGGGAGGTGGAGACAACTAGAAAAGACAACCCATCTTTTAAAAAAAATAACCCAATAGGAGACAATAAGACCTAGGTGAGGTATAGGAAGGTGGGGGGACTGTTAACCCCATAGTCCTCAGCCAGTGAGGAACCGGGAAGGACTCTCACACACTAGGGATAAATTGCCTGTGATCCCTGCTGCTCTGGCGTGCCTGCTCAACCAGACACCCAATCTTGTAAGACTGCATTAAAGGTCTCATTTTCACCGGACTTCATGTCTCTGAGTCCGTTATTTGAACTGGGACAGGTGAGCATTTCTCACACCTGGAACTCCATTTACTTCCCCAGAGTGAACAAGGAGGTGTTCCCATTATGCTTGCTAAAGTGGGGAGCGGAAGCTTCCAGCATGCTGACCTGTTGCCTCCTGTTCTGCTCCCGGGTACATGGTGGTGCCCTCCAGAGTCACTCGCTTGGCCAGATGCCCTTAGAGGCATGGCCTGGAGAAGTGGCCTTCACTAGGCTCCGGCGCAGCCAACAGCACTGGGTGGAATGACAGCAGAGCAGGGATTGCAGTTGCTGTATTAAGTACTTTCCTCACATTCTCAGTTGACTGAACAACCTTCATGGGGTGAGCAGTGCTGTTCCCACTGCTTGGAGAAAGGGTCCAAAGCTATTATACATTAGAGCTGGGGTGGGGCCCGGGCAGTCCTGACTCTGGGCCCTGTGTGCTGTGACTCCCCATGGCTGCCCCTCTCACCAGGATCGACAGCCTTTCTTTAGTAAGCTGAGGTCTTAGGGCAGGAGAGTGGACCAAGTGCTGCCCCCTCTGAGAGCATCCTTTGCTTCGTGGCACCCCACCTGGTAGATTCCCTGTGTTTTCTTGGCCTGCTAGCTCCTTCCTCATGTTCCTGAAGCCCCCAGACCTTTAATTCCTGGTTTCTGAGATAACCAGTCAGTAGTCAGTCATATGTTGGTTCATGACGATTCTTTGTGTGTCTTCCTTCCAGGTTCTGTAGACAATGGGAAGCAAAGGAGGGTTCACCCTGCTCGGGCTCTTGATCATCCTTTCTGTCCTCTGTGATTCAGGTGAGTGGTCGGGAGGGACATGGATCTCGACCATCTGGGCCCCCTTGGCCACACGCTTCCTTTTCCTTAGGCCCCAGAAGACTGAGCTGATGCCACTGGCCTCAGCCTGGCTTTGGTGGCTTTGCCTTCCAGTGTTACAGGTCCAGGGCTGTGTGACAACTCCTTCCTATGTTACAGGCTTGCCCGCAGCGGAGCGCCTTCCCAGGTTGCAGCCATTCTGGGTTACAGAGCTGGTTCTGGGGGTGGGGGTGGAGCAGAAGGGATACACTCAGCAGCTTAAGTTTCACCCTCTCATCACAAGCTGCTGGGACGCCAGTGGACCCATCTTTAGAGAGCTGTGCTCTGTCCTTCTGCCCTGACCTTTATGCACCGTGATGAGGATGGTGCTCATAGTAACAGCAGTAGCAGCTAATGCTTCTAGCATTTCTGTGCCAATCACTGTTCTGAACACTTCACAGGTATTATTTAATCCTCATCCTAACCCTATGGAGTAGGTACTGTTTTTATCGCCATTTTACAACTGACAGTACTGGGCCCAGAGAGATTAAATAGCTTGTAAACTATCCCACAGAAGTGGCATAGCCGGAATTTGAACCCAAACAGCTTGGCACCAGACCATCTGCTCTTAACTCCTTCATCGCCTGGCCGCCCCTCCCTGGCTCCTGGAGGTATTGGTGTGTTTCTGAGTCTTAGCCTCTGTACACTAGGAACACCAGTGTGACTTGCTTTTTGTCATCATAAGGATCGAGTGTTTCATTTTCTGCCTGTGTCATGCTGGTACCGCCAGTTTTGTGGGGGGAGGGGACAGAGAAGGAAATAGTGCAGTGAGCAAAAGGAAAAGGGTATCTGCCATGTTGGAGCATGGCTTACATAGTAGTCGCTCTAGTGGCTACCATATATTGAATGCCTATAGTGTAGAAGGGACTGTGCCACGCCCGCTCTCATTGCATCCTTCCAGCCACCCCGTGAGGGGTTAGTGCTGTTAAACCCATTTTATAGTTGAGGAAGCTGAAGCAAAGAAGAAACCAGCCCAAGGACACATTTGAATGTGCTTTCCCTTTGGGGTGGCAGGAGGGAGAGGGGGGCGGAGAGACAGGGGAGAGAAGTGATGACTCCTCTCCTTCCCACCTCCCTCCCCACCTCTGCTGATTCTAGCCAGGGTGGGCTGTAATGTGGCTCACCTCCATTACAACACTACATTACTGTCTGGATTCTTCTAGCCAGTGTGTTTTCTGTAGTTAGAATAACCTGGTCATGCCGCTTCCAGAATTCTGTTTATGGCACAGGCCTGGGTCTGGCGCCATCAGCTGTTCTGAGACAGGCCCCACATCCGAGACTCAGCATCTGGAGCAGATCCTTCTACCCAGGCTTAGCAGTGAAAAGATCCAACAGTCGACCTCTGTCTTATTGCTGGTCCCTGACCTGGGTCTCCCCCGTAATTTGTGCCATTTTCTTCTCTTTCCCACTCAGGATGATTAGAAGAATGACATGGTTAGACCAAGCTCCGGTTTCAGAACTGGCAGCCGTGGCTTGAGGCCAGCTCGCCCACTTAGTAGCTGTGTGAACTTGGGCAAGTTAGTTAACACCTCAGTCTTAGCTTCCCCTTGGAAAAATGGTGATGGAGGTCACGGAGCCCTCCTTTTATAACAGTTCTGTTAAGACTGAGCTTCACACGTGGGTGCCCAGATATGTGAACACTGAACGAATGTGTCAGCTCTGAGCACTTCTGCCCACTGAGGTCCCAGACGTGAGCTTCCGTTCCTCTGTCTCAAGAATAGTCAAGAAGGCCAATGAACTCTAGCTCTAGCCAGGAGAAAATTCGAGGCCATGGGCAACCAAAGAGCCAGGCTAGAACAATCCCTCCCTCTTCCGTTCTCTTTGCTCCTGCGTGACCACACATCAGGAGCAGAGAAGAGAAGAGAAAAACTGCCTCTTGTCCCTTCTCATGGTGGCTCCCCTGTCACGCAGGCATGACAAGCACTTCCTGGGGAGAAGAGGCAGAGGGGGGTAACGGAGGCCTGCCCCAGGCATGGCAGACTCGCCTTACCTGGCAGAAGGCCAAGGGGAGGAAGCAGGTCATCGTCTCTAATTAGAAGAGGGTGCGTCCGCATGAAACAGGAGCATCGTCTTGCAACACTTTTCTGCCTCTCCCCATGACAGATGTGCAATAGGACCTATCTTTATCTTGTCAGCATTGATATAAAATGGAGAAGGAAAAAATAATCCAGCAAAACCTGAAGTCTACCTAGCAAAGAGGACCCCTAAGAACATGAACAGGAGCAGAATTGATTTTCACATCAGAGAACCAAAGGCAATTTGCATCCGATGTAGCCGGTTCTTGTGTTCAGTGTCACTGCTAATGCCTGGTTGCCCCACCTACCTGGGCTTAAGGTGTGCGGCTGCTGTCTCTCCCTGGATTATGTGGGCTTCTGGCGGTGGGTCAGCCACTGAGCAGGGAGCAGCTTTAGTGAGGGCACCTTACCCAAAGGTCACAGGCCAGAGCGCAAATAGTTGAGGTTTTGCAGGCCAAGAGACAAATTCAAGGATATTCTGTAGGCTTTTATATAAATAATGAGAGAAAACAAATACAGATGTTCAATTGACAAAATTTGAAATGTTACAATTGAGTACAGTTATTTGTGATACAGACCTACTAATGGGAAGAATGGAATTCTTTTTGGGAGAATAACATTTTGCATACTTGGGTTTCAGAAATTTGTGTTCCCTCTCGTCCAATTGGTCACAAGTATTCATCTGTTAGTGCTGATCTGTAATGAGATGTTCTGTAGTTCATCTTTGAAAATGTCTTTTCACACAGGGAGCTACCACCAAATACTGACTATTAATCCATGAGAATATGATTTCATAGAGCAGATGTTGCTGGGCAGGCATTTATAGAATTTTGTTAACTTATTCAACTTCCAGTTGAAATGGTTAATTAAGACAGTTATATGGATTTTTAAATACGGAAATTTCTTTTGCACTTGCATCAGGGTCCAAAAACTGTTGCTAGAATTGTAGTTTTGTCAGCAGGGGACAAGGGGATCTCTGCACCCTCAGTTCTTGTCTTGCTTATGGGGAATAATTCAAACAAGAGACAACAACAGCCAAAGCAGACGAGGATTTATTTGTAGGAAAGCGATACACTCAGAGAGGACATGAGCAGGCAATTTAGCTGGCTGAGACCAAACTGAGTGCCCCTGATATTGGGGAGTTTAGAGGATCTATATGCCTAGATTGGCATGCCCCAAGCAAGGAGCTAGTCACACCCTCTCTCGTATCTCACATAGGCGCTTGCTTCCTCCATTATCTATTTTCAGTTTGTTACATCTCACTCTTATTTCCTCTCTGTCCCAGCTTAGAGGTCCGCCCAGAGGTCAGCTGCCTCTCCCAGCCTCTCCCAGCTTATATCTTTCTCTCTGCCTACTCTTAACAATCTGAGTTTGGAAAAATCTACCTGCTGCAAGTGTGTGTGGGAAAGGAAGCATGCTGGCCTCTGCCCCGTGGTCATGGAGATGGTGGGCTTCCTTCTGCAGCCAGGAGGGCAAGTGAGTGCTGGTCTACCAGATTCTGACAGCTCTTCTTCCTGATTCTAGGTCATAGCCTGCAGTGCTACACCTGCCTCAACCCAGGTGGTGCGTGCACTCTCACCACCAACTGTACAGTTAATTTTGATGCATGTCTCTACGTCAAAGCCGGTAAGAGCCTCCCCTTTCTCTCCTAAGGGTAATGGGATGATGGAAACCTGGAAATACGTACCATTTAATAGCATCAGCTACATGCAGCACTAAGCACTTTTCATGTGTTTTTAATTGAATGCTTCTCACCTACCACTCAGGGTAATGTTTTGTATTCTCAGTTCTTAAATGAGGAAACAGAGGCTCAGATTAAGCGACAGACTAAGGACAAGTTACCAACCCAGGATATGAATGTGGGGATCCGTCTATTCCAATGCTTATTCTCTTAGCAGCAATGCTGGCTGCCTTCCTGTCTTTTAAGAGCCTCCCGGGTGTCAGAGTCAGAGCAAGTGGCTAGGGGTGCAAAGATGAGGAAAGGAGATAAAATTATGGCAGAGGCCTGTTCATTAGCTGTCAGAAATGTGAACGGGGAAAAGCGTTCCTGAGTGTGACAAAGGCAGGTGCCACCCAAGGTTTGTGGCCTCAGAGAGCAGGACACTCAGGGAAACGGGGTTGGGGGCTGCTAAGACTGCATTTCCCATATTGGTCAGGCTCTAGAACAGCCGTGGGCAAACTACGGCCCGCGGGCCGGATCCAGCCCGTTTGAAATGAATAAAACTAAAAAAAAAAAGACCGTACCCTTTTATGTAATGATGTTTACTTTGAATTTATATTAGTTCCCACAAACACTCCATCCATGCTTTTGTTCCGGCCCTCAGGTCCAGTTTAAGAACCCACTGTGGCCCTCGAGTCAAAAAGTTTGCCCAACCCCTGCTCTAGAAGCTCTATCTCCATAATCCTATTCAAACAGGATCTAGGAAGTGGTGGACAGAGGAAAGAAACAGCAAAGCCGTGCCCTCTTCTGTTCTTGGTGGATGTGGTTCTGGGTTGAATCTATGTGTGGAAATGATACTGGCGAGGAACGACTATGTCCGGGTCTCCTTAGTTAGGTAACATGCACCAGTTGTATATGAGCACAGAGAAGTGGTTCTTTCTTAACCTACCACCAATAGGTTCTTTATAAAAGGTGTGTGTTTGATGGTAGAGGTTTGGGAGGAGCCAGGAAGAGTAAAGTAGACCAGAGTCAAAATATTTTTTCCAGCTCTCAAATCCCATTGTTTCTTATCTCAATTATTAGGCTTTTATTTTAATTTTTTCCAACTTTATTAAAGTAAAAATTGGGCATATTTAAGGTGTACAAGGTGCTGATTTGATGTCCATATACATCATGAAATGGTGACCACAATCAATCTAATTAACACCTCCATCATCCCACATAGTTACCTCTGTTGTGTGATGGAGAACACTTAAGATCTATTCTCTTAACAAACTTCAAGTATACAATACAGTATTATTAACTATAGTCACCATGCTGCACACGGTCCTCAGGACTTACTCATCTTAGAATGACTTGTTAAGCTTTAAAAATGCTTGATGTCTGCCCTAACTGGTCTGGCTCAGTGGATAGAGCGTCAGCCTGCGGACTGAAGGGTCCCAGGTTTCATTCCGGTCAAGGGCATGTACCTTCGTTGCGGGCACATCCCAGTAGCGAGTATCCAGGAGGCAGCTGATCAATGTTTCTCTCTCATTGATGTTTCTAACTCTCTATCCCTCTCCCTTTCTCTCTGTAAAAAAATAAAATAAAATAAATAAATAAATAAATAAATAAAAAATATACATATATCAATTTGAAAAAATAAAATAAAAATGCTTGATGTCAACAATGAGGCACACTTCCTGGAAAGGCCAGAGTCCAGGACACTGACTTCACCAAATGCTGGCGAGGATGTGGAGCAACAGCCACGCTCATCTACTAGTATTGCTGGTGAAAATGGAAAATGGTGCAGACCGTTCGGTAGTTTCTTCAAAAAACTAAACGTACTCTCACCATATGAGTCAAACATTGTGTTCCCTGGTATTTCCCCAAACGAGTTGAAAACATACATGCCCACCTTGACCTGCATACAGATGTGGGTAAGTTTTATGAGTAAGTGCCCAAACTTGGAGCAACCAAGATGGCCTTCAGTAGGTGAATGAATAAATAAACGGGCACATCCGGACAGTAGACTAAAAAGAAATGAGTGATCAAGCCATAAAAGGCATGAAGGGACCTGAAATGTATTTCACTATGTGAAAGAAGCCAACCTGAAAAGGCTACCCCCCACATCATTCCAACAATAGGACATTTTAGAGAAGGTAAAACTAAGGGGACAGTAAGAAGTCAGTGGTTGCCAGCGGTTAGCTGGAAAAAGGGAGAGGTGATGAAGTAGAGCACAGAATTTTAGGGCAATGAAACTGCTCTCTTTGATACTATAACAGTGGATACATGTCACACATTTGTCAAACCCCTTAGAACGTACAAAACCCAGAGTGAACCCAAGTGTAAATTATGGACTCTGGGTGGTAATGATGAGCCCCTGTAGGTTCATCAGGTGGAAAAATGTACCATTTTGGTGGGGGATGTTCTCTGTGTGGGAGGTGGTTTGGGGTGGGGGTGCCAGGGAGCTGTATGGGAACTCTACTTTCTGCTCAGTTTTGCTGTGATTCTAAAACTCCTCAAGGATGAATCTAGTTTTTAAGAAGGATAATGTGAATCTTAATTATTTTCTTCTCATGAACTTAAGTCCCCTTGCTTAAGCCAGACATCTTAAAATAGATATAGTCTGACCTTACAGTAAGGCAGATAGTAACAGAGCATCTAAATCCCCCTCCAGCTCTGGAGACATCAGCCTGGGAGAGGCAGGGCACACTGTCATAAACACCAGTCAGAGGCCAGGCACTGCATTAGCGAAGGCATTTAACCACTCTAGCCACCCCCACGCCCACCCCTGCTCCCTCCACACACAGTCCTGCTCGCTCTGACGAGACTTTGGTTTTAGGGGAAATTTCCACTGAGAGCTGTATCGTCACTTAACTGTTCCCCTTTGCAACCCAACGGGGATGCCCGTTCTTGCCCACATGTCTCTACGGCCACAAGGTCAGTTCCCAGGAGTAGAATTGAGGCTCCAAGGCAGGTACGGAACTTGACCCACTTGCCTGCTTGCCCTTGTGTGTGTTTCCCCCACAGAGACACGAACATACTACCAGTGTTGGAAGTTTCAGAACTGCAACTACGAATACCTCTCAAAAAACTTAGGAGAGAAGACTCTACAGTACGAATGCTGCCAGAAGGACCTGTGTAACAGAAGCGGTGGGACGAGCATAACGGGCACCATGGCTCTGCTGGTGGCTCCGCTGCTCACAGCATTCTGGAGACTTCTTATCTAAATCAATACCAGGAGAGAGTCTCCTAACTGCCTGCTTCTGTGTATTCCTTCTCTCCTTTGCTGCCACAAAAGCTTTCTATTTTCTTACTGGATCCTGTTGGGAGAGACCAAAACTAGCTTGAGCAACTTGGATAAGAGAGAGGGAGAGACCTGGAAAACCAGTCCTGTGTGCAGAGAAGGCCCCTCTGAGGGAAGACGTTTAGGAGTGAAGCATGTGCCATGACAGCTAGGTTAGTTCCGTGCTGCCTCCTCTGCTCGGTGCCGCAATAGCTTGACTAGATTCTCTGCAATCGTCAGTTGTTTCCCCGCTTGTTTCTTGGATGTAGGTACCAGTATGATCAGTGCTTTTGGGGGGGAGAGGGGGGCGGGGGGAGGTTGGAGCAGAGGGGGTCTTTTCACCAGTGTCTCTCACAGGGGATGCTTTCATCCCCTCCTTCTATGGCCCCTGTGTTGCCACGTAGGCATGAGGAATGTTCCAGATGTGGGCTGTCAGGGGCAACGGGATTCTAAGTGCAGAGTGATTGGAATGACATATTCTCAACTAGAAGGTGTCTGGCAGAGTAGGAGGTGAGCTTTCCAGGTGGCAGGGCATAGAGGCACCAGGTCTGCCCTTTAGAGAGGTACCAGTGGCTGAAATCTGAATTTTCTTCTTTTCCTAAATTTTGTATGGGCTTTGCTGTCTTTCCCTAAAAACAACTTAAACACATCAGTTAATGGTGTGTTAAAGCTATTTCCCTCCCCTTTTCATTGGAATGATGACATAGTTTCACTTTGTCACAGAGTTCAAGACTAAATATTTGAACATTCTTTGTGACAAGTGATTTACAGTATCGTGTTGCTTATTTTGAGTATTATCAGTGGGAAAACCCTCGTGTGTGTGTGTATTGGGAGAATGCAATGGGAACATGTCACCTCGAACAGCAACAGGCCCACAGGGATGTTCTACCTGCTGACACAAAGCCTGTTGACTGCTAGCTGCCGTGGCACAGATCATGCGATGTTCGTTTGTAAAGGCTGTTAGCGTCCTCACAAATGTCAAGACTTTGAGCAGCTCTACCAGTTTCCTAAAGAGAGACCCCTTCTCAAGAGGCAGAGGTTTGCCATTTTTTGTGTGTGTGAGTGCTGGTGAATAATTCTCAAGATCTGGTAGACTTAATAACACTTATATTCTTATAACATTGTCTGCTTTTAACAGCATGGCCTGACTTGCCAATGAAAGTGAGATTTCTTGATTAACATTTAAAAAAAATGCCTTGATTATGTAATCTGAGATAAAGTGGAATGAATAGTGCCTTTTAAAAAAAAAATTTATTTATTTTTTACAGAGAGAAAGGGAGAGGGGGATAGGGAGTTAGAAACATTGATAAGAGAGAAACATCAATTTAGCTGCCTCCTGCACACTCCTTACTGGGGATGTGCCCGCAACCAAGGTATATGCCCTTGACTGGACTAGAACCTGGGACCCTTCAGTCCGGAGGCCGACGCTCTATCCATTGAGCCAAACCAGTTAGGGCAATGATGCGTTTTTGAAAATAAAATATAATCAAATGCATGCATGTGGTCATTGGGCCCAGAAGGATAGCAGCATATGCAACATGCCCAGTGACAAGAGAGGGCGTGGGCAGTGCCAGTTTTCTCCTGTTGATGCCACAGACAAATAAAGACTTCCTCATCCAAACCTGCATTCCCTTGGTGCTCTGTGTTCCCTGTTGGCTCAGTGTTTCTTCTTACATCATCTCATTCTGTTCCAAGACAAAATAGTTGTGACTCTTTCCTTCACAGGCCTTTTTCTGCCTGAGGAAGTACTGACCATGCCACTAGCGTATAGGATTATTCACCATAAAACTTTTCTTTGTCTAAACTGAAGCTTCCTGTTTGTGCACACTTACATTATTTTGGAGTAGAATAAATGACCACAGGACTGCTAGGTGGGTGTCTATGTGGGTCCGTTGTAGGTAAGAATGTCCTTTCCCCAAGCAGCTATCTGGGTCCAGAGCCTCTGGGATGGGTGGGGGGACAGCATGCACCCTGCAGAGGGTGAGTGCACTGAACTGGGTGGGGGTCAAGGTTCTGGGATTGTGGAGTGGGGAGCTTCTTTTCTGTGATGAGCTTTCCTACACTTGCTGCCATTCCCATCCTCGCTATTATTGGCTACATGCAAGTTAGCCAACCCCAGTATGTTGGGCCTATATGTACAACTAGTGCTAATGTTATGCCCAGATTTCAAGATCCCCCAAGACAGACCACTAGGGAGCCGAGTCCGATGCAAAATCATAGAGTCTTTTATTCAAGCCCGGGACTTGGTCCCCCTCCTGCCTCCATTACTGGATGCAAGAGAGAGCCCCGAGTCCCAAGGGAACAAAGAATTTATAGGGCTTGGGGTCGGGGGGTGGGGGCACACTCTGACCACTGATTTGGCCGATTCCGGTTGGTTGAGTGAGGGCCGGGGGCTAGTGACGCAAGGGCAGGTGCAGTGAGGGTCTGGTTACACAAAGACGGGGGGGTGGCTAGCATACTCTTGGCCTTGGGCTAGTTTCCCCCGCTTTCCCATTGGCTGAGATAAGGGCAGGCTGAGTAACTGATACATTCAGTGGCTTTTTCTTGGAAGAGGGGATAAGGCCACAGCTATCAGTCCTGTTCTGTCCTTTCACTCATGCTGGCTCAACTCACCCCACTCAGTCTGGCAATATATTTTACAGATATGTCAATATCAACCAACCTGGCCCTTGAATGTGTTGGTGTGATATGGTGCTGTGGCCAGAACTGAAACTCAGCATTATAATTCATAAACTCGATTAGTATAGCTAAAAGGGGATCTGGCACTGAATTCTTCAACAGGAAATGTCGTGGTCACAAGTGGAGGGCTTACTGTGTGCCGGCCACTATTTGAAGCACTGTGTATACGACTTCATTTTGCTCTGTAACTGAATAGTATTGCCAATACCCAAATCCATCAGAGTGTTTACAAATCACCATTCTCTACTTATTTTACTGACTGCACTGTGTGCCTGGGCAGCTGCCCAGGGAGTGAGTAAAGTCTCTCCATGTCATACATAACTCCCTCAGACCTGTGTTGCTCGAACTGGCTTGAGAAAGTTTCTGGGAGAAAACAAGATGGCGGCATAGGTAAACACCAGAGTTTGCTGCCTTGAACAACCACTTCAAAAATACAACTAAAAGATGGAACGGACATCATCCAGAACCACAGGAAGGCTGGCTGAGTGGAAATTCTACACCTAGAAGGAAAGAGAAAAGCATACCGAGACTCAGAGGAGGCGCAGTGCGGAAGTAAAATACTAAGGTACAGAGGCGCACAAGGAGCAGGCTGGCGGCTTTACTTAAATGCAATACATTTGCAGCACAGTGGTAAAGGGCCCCTTTTCACACCCCTCTTACTGACTGGCTCTGAGGCCTTGTGCATGCTACCTCATCACTCCGACCCTCTCGTCATCAGTTGTAACAATGGGACCTGCAATAATGTCATTGGCTTTTTAGCCATGTGGCCTCTGCTCCCCCTCCCTTCTGATAACAGAACCGCAATCAGCTGCTGGGGAGTCGCTTCCACCCGGAAGTGCAGTCTTGGGGGGCCTTTTCATGAAGGGGGTCTGGCCGCCTCTAGCCAGAAGCTGGGCAGGGAGGGTCTCTCCTGCAATTTCAGTCTTGAGTGGAGTTAGGCAAGGACTGAAAATCCTTTTTGGTTGAAGCCGTGAGTCTCTCAGGAAGGCTACAATGAACAGACAACTTAGAGAAGCTTAATCAGAGTCGGATTCTCTTGCATAAGAAGGTGGGCAGCTCCCAGCATTGGTTCAGCTGCTCAACACCATCTCGGTGGGTACATGGCATATTCTGGGTCTTTCCCTCATGGTCACAGAGTGAACTCGGACTGCCAGGTCCAAGGCAGGAGGAGGAGAGGAAGGGGAAGCTTCAGTTTCCCGGAAAGCTGCCAGCTATTTTCTGGTCATATCTTCTGGCTGGAAATGCCTCATGGCCACCAACAGCTGAAAGGGAGACTGGCAAAGCTGTTTTGTTTTTCTAGCCCCTGTGTCTAAAGAGAAGGCTGTAGGGCAGTGGTTCTCAACCTGTGGGTCGCGACCCCTTTGGTGGTCAAACGATCCTTTCTCAGGGATCGCCTAAGACCATTCTGCATATCAGATATTTACATTATGATTCATAACAGTAGCAACATTACAGTTATGAAGTAGCAACAAAAATAATTTTATGGTTGGGTCACAACATGAGGAACTGTATTTAAAGGGCCAGAAGGTTGAGAACCACTGCTGTAGGGAAAAGGGTTGAAAATAGTCATTGAGAACAGCCAGCCAACTGAAGAGGCCGTTGGTTCCCTCCTGCTACCTGGATTCCTAAAGTTGCCTTGGTCTATGAACCCTCAAAACCAAATTCTTTTTTTTTTTTTTTTTAATATTTTTTTATTGATTTCAGAGAGGAAGGAAGAGGGAGAGATAGAAACATCAATGATGAGAGACATTGATCAGCTGCCTCCTGCAAGCCTCCTACTGAAGATTGGGCCTGCAACTGGGTATGTGCCCTGACCTGAATGGAACCATCACCTCCTGGTTCATAGGTCGATGCTCAACCACTGAACATCCCTGGCCGGGCTCAAAGCCTACTTCTTAAGCTTTCAGTTCCATAAACTATCTCATTGCCCTCTGTGTGAAATCTCCAGATCAACCTCTGTTACTTGTGAGCAGAAAAATTCTGAGAGACCGACCCTCTAGGTGTTACTGCCAGGATAACTTGAGAACCCAATGTAGTAACTGGTAAAGTGAGTGTTAGCTACAATTGTTTTACCCAGGGTTGCACAGCTAGTTGATGCTGGTTGATGAGACTAAACTCAGCTCTCTCATAATCCAAGCCCCTGCACTCTCCATTCCACTACTGCCTCTCAGGCTTCAGTTCATTAAAAAATGTGCTGACTCTGCGAGTGCCTGGGAAAACATCTGCCAAGGGAAATAAGAATAAGGGCGGGGCTGCATTTTTTTTAGAAAGGTTCTTGAAATAGTGGGTGTTGTGAAGGAAAGTAGAAATGTGTGGGCCTTCAGCTCCTGCCCAACACAATGGTGAATTCAGATGAGGAATAAAGACTGTTGGTGCTCCTCACATAGCCAAACCCTTGAATTGTGACACAAACAACTTCCAGTTAGAGCCTGCCCTCTGCGAGCAAGAGAAAGCCAGCCAACGTGAAGGTGACCCTGCCCTGAGAGCCGGGGGAACTGGTGGGAGGCTGTAGGAGGGAATGGCCAAGAGGCAGGGAGCTGGGGCCAGCCCATGGGTTTGAAATTCCAGTTCTGATGCTAACCAGTCCCAGAGCCTCAGGCAAGTTACTCAACCTTACCTGCCTCTGTGCCTCCGAATGTGGGGAAAACAGCTACTGCTTAGGTTCGTTGCAGTGAGCAAAGGAGTTAAGACAAGTGCCCTGCTCGCAATAGCCTCTCTGAGTTTGATGTCACTGTCCTCCGCAGGGCAGCAGGTAACCATCTTCTAGGTCAGTGATGGCGAACCTTTTGAGCTCGGCGTGTCAGCATTTTGAAAAACTCTGGTGCTGTGTCACATAGAGAAATTTTTTTGATATTTGCAACCATAGTAAAACATAGACATATTTTTGATATTGATTTTACATATTTAAATGCCATTTAACAAAGAAAAATCTACCAAAAAAATGAGTTCGGGTGTCACCTCTGACATGCGTGTCATAGGTTCGCCATCACTCTTCTAGGTGTAGGGCTTGCTAAATTACCTGGAGTTGGTCCAGTTGTCAGGGAGGGACACCCCCTCCCCTGCTCCACTGACCTCATCCATTTGCCAGGGCTTAATGGTGAATGAAGGAATCCACATAAGACCGTTTAATAATCATAGTCACCTACTATGTGTCCCAGCAGCCTACTATGTGTCCCAGGTTTTGCTTATACATGTTTTCATCACCTGCATCAACTTTGTGTGGTAGATCTTGCCTTCATTTTATGGCTCAGAAAACAGATTCCAAGAGCTGACATGACTTTCCCAGAGTCACAAAGAGTCCTGGATTCAAACATGACTTTTGTCTTTGTATGTTCAGGCTGCTGTAACAAAAATCCCATAGACTGGGCGGCTTAAGCAAGAAACATTTATTTCTCACCAGTCTAGTGGCTGGGAACTCCAAGATCAAGGCTCCAGAAGATTTGGTGCCTGGTGAGAACCCATTTCCTGGTTCATGGATGGTGGTCTTCTCACTATGCCCTCACATGGTGGAAGTGGCAAGGGAGCTCCCTGCAGACTCTTTACCAAGAGCACTAATCCATGGGTGAGGGCTCTGTCCTCATGACTTAATTACCACCCAAAGGCCCCCACCTCCTAATAGCATCTCACTGGGGCTTAGGTTTTCAACATAAGAATGGGGGGCGGGGCAACACAAATACTCATTCCATAGCAACTCTGCTGTATCCAAGCCACAAGTTCTACATGCTCCTAAAAGCTGTCCCAAGCCAAGGCAGGCATGGGCAATTGTGACATCCCCTTAGAGAGGCAGAGAATCTGGTGAAGGTGTGGTCGTTGGCATTCTGTCCAGGTGCAGAGCTAAAGTGGTGGAGAGGAAGTGAGACTTCTAGGGGAGCAAGTGTAGTCAAACCCAAGTTCACATACCCAACACACAGTAATACCAATCAGTAAAGCAGTGAGTATGCAACAAGGAAAGTTTATTTTTGAGAGGCAGCAAACAATGAGACAGGGTTTTGAAAGCCCAAATCCATCTCCCCGAGAGGAAAACAAAGACGAGGGGTTTGAAGGGGGACTTTACAAGCACACAGAGAGGAACTAAGTGATTCTAAATCTAATAAACGATGGCATATTACTAATCTATTAGAAAAGATGCAATATTGTCATTTGCAATAACATGGGTGGATCTTGAGACTAGCACGCTGTGCAAAATAAGTCAGATGGAAAAAGTCACTCCTATGTGTATATGAAAAAAAAGCAACAAATAATCAAACAATTGGGAGGCGGACAAAGGAGAAGAGGGTTGATTGAGAATGGCCGTTAGAGCCAACCCATGTTCCTGCCAAATTTCCCAGTGCTGTGGGAGACTCTGGAAAAGGGACCCTGCTATGGATGGTAATAAATCTAAAGGGAGAGTGTCTCCAATGGGATGCAGTTTAGTTCTCTTCCAAACACATTCATCATCAGGAACGAACAGGCAACAGTCTAACCACTGAAAGGAAATCCTGCTGAACAAATCCCGAAGAGCCCACACCCTTTCCTTGGTACTTTGCTCCAAGATCTCTTGCATGAGTAGCCAGGATTAGTCAGACTGAGGGGAGGCAAATTCCCATGAAAGCCTTGGCCTAACAATGATCTAATGGTCATTGGATTGAAGGAATAAAGATGGGTGGGACCAGTTTAAGCTGCTGGCTAGTCAAGATCTGTGTCAGTACCAGCTGTGCATGTGTGTATGTGTGTGTGCGTGCATAGCAGCAAAGGGAGTCGGATATCCAAGCTAGATGTCTTTGGGCAAGTTGTTTGACGTTTAAGAGAACCAGGCTGCCTCCTACAGTTGCTTGTGATGACCAGACAGAAGACGGAAAGGTGTGAAGCACTTGTAAACTTAGAAACTGTCCAAACGTAAAGGGCTTGTCTCACACTGAGCAGCTTTTTCTTCCCATACTAGCTGGTCCAGCCCAAGGTCCTGTAGTGCTGAGCATATAATTGGACTCAATCAATAGCTGGGAGCTTTTAAAAACAGTGTTATAGCCTGGCCGGTGTGGCTCAGTGTTGAGCGTGGACTATGAACCAGGAGGTCACTGTTGGATTCCCAGTGTGGGGTGTGTGGGAGGCAGTTGATCAGTGATTCTCATCATTGATGTTTCTCTCTCTCTCTTTCTCTCTCCCCCCTCTCCCTTCCACTCTGAAATCAATAAAATTATATTTTTTAAAAAAGAACAGTGTTATGGGAACTGAAAGGGATCAGAATATAACACCCCCAAATATGCCATTTTGGCACAGGGATTATTTTAATCGAAGGTAATTGAGAAACAGAGGACTCAGCCTAAAAGCCAGGCATAATTTTTTTTCTCTTCCTATAGACGGAGAGGAAAACTGAAGTTTGTTTTCTCTTCAGTTCGGGCCAGCTCTCCACTTGGGGCTTTTGTTTGATGTCATGTTTGTCTGTGACAGCTGCTGAGCGAGGCTTGTAGAATTTAGGGGCGGTGGGGAGAACAGGGGGGCTGAGCCCGGCTTAGGGCTGGAGGCGAAGGGTGCTGTGGTCCAGCGGAACCTAGGGGTTGGGCCGGGCATTAGGACCCGCCTGCGGGACTTCACACTCGCGCCCCACTGCGGGTGCCTGTCTCACTCCAGGGGCGCGGCCTGCCACCTGCCAATGGGCGTGGCCACATTCTGGGGCGTGGCCACCCGGATCTTAGAGCCCCGCTTGTTGGGGGCGGGGCTAACACGAAGGGGTGGGGCCGAGCCCCTCGGGGCGTGGCCTGTGGAATGTCAGAACCCGGCCACTCGAGGCAGGCGCGGGTCTCCCGGCGCGGGGTTCCTCCCACGCAGCCTCCCATTCAAAAGATGCCGAAGGGGCGGCGCGGCCGCCAGAGCCCCACGATGAGCCAGCGGCCGGCCCCGCCCCTCTATTTCCCGTCTCTCTACGACCGCGGGGTCTCCACGTCCCCGCTGAGCGACTTCAATATCTGGAAGAAGCTCTTCGTACCGCTGAAGGCGGGCGGGCCGGCGGGGGGCCGGTCCCTGCCCCAGGCGCCCCCGGCCCCGATGCCCCTGCCGCCACCCCCGGGCCTGGGTCCCCCCAGCGAGCGCCCGTGCCCCCCGCCCTGGCCCTCTGGCCTGGCCTCCATCCCCTATGAGCCTCTGCGCTTCTTCTACTCGCCGCCGCCAGGGCCCGAGGTGGCTGCCTCGCCCCTGACCCCTGGCCCCACGCCCTCCCGGCTCGTCTCCGCCTCCCACCCCGAGGAGTTGTGCGAACTGGAGATCCGCATTAAGGAGCTGGAGCTGCTCACCATCACTGGGGACGGCTTCGACTCCCAGCGCTGTGCGTGACCTCCCCGGGCAGCCGGGGCCCACCCCTGGGCGGCCTTGACTCCATTCTTGGCTCCATGTCCCCCTACCGAGGTCCCCCCCAAATGTGGCCTCGGGCTCAGGCTCCAGCACCCAGGTGTCCCAGATTTCCAGCTGATCCCCAGAACCCAGATTCCCCCCCATCCTGGATTTCAACTGACTCTTTTCCTCCAACTCCATCCTCCCTCCATCCTGAGCCCTTCCGGGAATCTGGACCCTGAGCCCCCAAACCTGGAACTCCACCCACCACCAGCCTCCTCCTGAGCCTTAAGCCTCTTGCACAGTAACACAACTACCCCTGGAGACACACGCACCACAGGCAGCCCCTTTCTCTAGAGACCGAGATTTAGCATTTATCTTCAACTGGGATCCTGGGCAGGAGGTGGGGGAAGTAGGGGAGGGTGGGTTGTCATGTCTGTAGGGGGAAGATGGAAATTTTGCAAGACCCAGGAGGCCCAAGGACAATGCTGGATGATAGCTTCCCTGGGACACTCCCAGCCCCCTCCACCTCCACCATCCCCACCCCGTAGCCCTGTCACCAGGGTCCTGGACTCTGCCATCTGATCTTAGGTTTGAAGTCTCTGGGATCTTACTTAACCAGGAGACCAGGTGTGCTGATGTGGGTGGGATTCCTGGAGCATGCAAGCTGCTGTGGGAGAGTAAAATCACACACAGTCCAATTCGACTCCCGGAGGACCTATTTGCTCTGTAGAATGTTCAGTAGCCATAGGCTGTTCTGCAGACTTTGTTTTTCCCGTCACCTCTTCTGACTGTGGCTAGCACCTGGCCACTGAAGGTGAGCAGATGGTCCTTGAAAGACCATCCCCGTTACTCTATAAAATTGCCCCCACCTCCCACACAGAGAAGGGGTATGAAATAACCCAAATGTTTAGGTCCATGAGGCAGCAGGTCTCTAGAAACAATTCCTAGAACACATGGACTTTTCTAAGTCCTGGATTTCGCAACTACGTATTCTCCACTTATACACGTTTTGGATCATAGTGGATTTGGGGCTCCTGTAGGGAGCACACGGTTGCATTCGCAGCATTAGTAAAAGCCCTTATCTCTACTCGAGTTAAGTGTGTCTTGCTCTCCTGCAGATAAGTTCTTGAAGGCGCTGAAAGATGAGAAGTTACAAGGACTGAAGACCAGGCAGCCTGGAAAGAAGTCAGCCTCTTTCTCCTGAGGCGCTGCCCACCAGAGCCTGGGCAGCCACCTCCTTAGGTGTTAGTGCTTAGATAATGTGTCCTGTTCGTTGTCATTTCAAAAATTGTTATTTTCTGTTCTGTATTTACTGCTGTTCTTGTTGCTCCCAGCATGTACTCCACATACAGTGCCCACGTGGTAAATCTCATGGTGTGTCTCCTCTCTGTGCTGTGGCTGGGGGAGCTTTCTCACGGGGTCTGGAAGCTGCTGCCCTGCTGGCGTTCAGGGGCTCCCAACACCAGGGGAGGGGCTCCCAACACGGCCATGTCAGGAGGGAACTGGGGAAAACCAAGGGCAATATATATTTGGTCCCGTTGCTGTGTCCCGGCTCAGAGGGGCTCTTGAAGGACATGGATGTGTGTGTTTTCCAACAGCTTTATTCCTTGGAAGTGTTTCGTTTTTTAGTGGTTTTTGGACCACAAATCTTTTTGATGATCTGATCAAAGCCAAGGTCCTTTCTAGAAATTAACTTATTCAAGAAGTAGTTGAGAGATGATTCTGTGCCAGACACCCCCCAGCCCCTTAGGGCTCTTGCAACCCGGGATTGGGGAGACACAGATGCTGTTATAAATAGGGAAATCATAATATGGTATCACAGATGATAACATACTAAGGGGGGAGGGGAAGAGGAGGGTCAGGAGGGTCAGCAGAAAGCAGGGTAGAATTTCGAATAGGGTTTCCTGAAGAGTTAATGTGTAAGCAAGGTTTGAAGGTGGTTGAGGGTGATAGCCATGTGGCATCCTGGGAATGTTCCAGCAGAAGCGCCAGTACAAAGGCTGAAGGTGGGAGCCTGCTGGGATGTTGGAGGGTCTGCAAAAAGCCAGATGGCAGATAAACACAATTCACCATCTTAAATGGAGGAGGAGTGAGAGGAGAGTGGAAGGGCTAATGCAGAGAGGGTCCATTCATGCGGGACCTTCCAGCCATGGTAAGGACTCCAGGTTTTACTCCAAGTGGGAGGGGGCGTGGGTAGAGGATTTTCAGCCAGTGAGAGACAGGATCTGACCGTGCTGCTGGGTTGAGAGCAGACGAAGGAAGGAAGGAAGCAGGGGAAGCAGTTTGGGCTGCAGTAATTAATAATCCAGCTGAGTGACAAGTGGCGGTACAGCCTCATCTTCCCTTTGCCCTTTGCGTGGTGAGAGGTGTCTGTGGGGCACCTGCTGCCACCACCAACCACCCTCCCCACCCCGCCCACTTGCCAGGTGCTGTCTCTCTGGTGAGGAACAAATGGGAGGAGTGAGATCTCCGTGACACAAGCACACATATAAAGAAAAAATTATTTTGTGAAACAAATCTTCAATCAAGTATAACATTTAAAAAAATACATATTTTTATTGGTTTCAGAGAGGAAGGGAGAGAGAGAGAGAAAGAAACATCAATGATGAGAGAGAATCATTGATTGGCTGCCTCCTGCACGCCACACACTAGACTTGGGCATGCGCCCTGACCAGGAATCGAACCCTTACCTTCTGGTTCAGAGGTTAACATTCAACCACTGAGCCACGCCAGCCGGGCTCAAGTATAACATTTTGATACTTGGCATCTAGATGCCATTGTGCCTTCACTATGCCAGCAGCAGCGGTAGGTCGTAGCCAGAGAATTTGTGAAGTTTGGACTTCTGGCAAAAGGAGGATGAAAAGGAGTTGGCCAATGAGTCATATGTCTTAGACATGCTGGAATGTTGTTCTCAAGGGAACGGGAGGGGTGGGATGTAGTTTACTGTCAGTGGTTCTCAACCTTGGCTGCACATTAGAATCACCTGGGAATCTTTTTGAAATTCTGATTTCTGGGCCTCATCTTCCGGAAATTCTGTTTCTTTGTTATAGGGTGGGGCCACAATGGCAGCAGCAGGCAAGCAAGCTACCAAGGACAGGGGTGTAAGAGTGAGCACCTCCTGCCAACTCAGAACTTCTTGGGTGGGGCCACACATTAGTAACAAAGAAACAGAATTTCCAGAGGATGAGGCCCAGAAATCAGGATTTTAAAAAGATTCCCAGGTGATTCTAATGTGCAGCCAAGGTTGCGAACCACTGAGGGGTTGGCTACAGATGGCAATAGAAATGGTTCATTTATATTAACAGGAGGCCCCATCTGTGCAATGAGGGTGCAGACGCCGGTAGAAGAGTAAATGTGGTGGGAGCCCTGGAAATTGCACACACGTGCCCCAAAGTCTGCAGCGTCCTCCAAGTGCTCATGCCCTGGGACAAGGTCCGGGTGGACCCTGGCAAAGGGCAGCGTGCACACGTGACTCTGGGGGTAGTTGTTAACCAGCTCCAGCTGCTTGTGGCCCAGCCAGGAGGGTGGGCACAGTGTCAGGTGAAAGCTCTTGCTTCCTAAATCAGCAATGAATTCAAAGGTTTCCAAACACAATTCAGGCCAAATAAAACAAGCGGGACGGTCCCTCAGAGTCTGCAACTTCTGCTGTACGCACAGGAGTCCAAGCACCTTGGGCGGGGACTCCGGGCTCTGCCTCCCTCCCCAGGAAGAAGCCAGAGTCTTGCTGCCCAGGCTGGTGGCTGTTAGAGAGCATCTTGTTCTCCCAGAAAACTCCAGGCTGGGCAGGCCAGTGAGGGGCGGGCTGGAGAATCTTAATGAGAACAAACCAGGCATCAGGGACACCCAGTGCCGATATCCAGTGGGCCTGTGTCCCATCTCCTCCCCAGAGTCCCAGTGGAGACACTGCTCTCACAGGGTGGTTGGGTGGGGGACAACACGGCCTGTTCCCATTTCCTCCCCAGAGTCCCACTGGCCTCCGCTCCACCCCCCACCATGCTCATAAGATTGGGCACACACTGTGCTGAGCACAGAAGGAGGCCTTGGCATGAACAACCTCATTTAATTCTCACCAGCGTTTGGTGAAGTAGGTTTGCCATGTTTTACAAGTGAGGGAACAGAGGCTCCACGAGATGAAGGACCTTGCCCACCAACACAGAGCTAGGGAAAGGCAGAGCCAGGCCTGGGACGGGGGCCGGTCACGGTTCCCCTTGGCTCTCTCGCTGGGTGAGGCACAGATTCGGAGGAAGCCCAGGTGAGCCATCGACAAGAAGCACCTGGCTCGATGCTGGTAGGGCATGGTTTTGGGGTTGGCTGGGTTGTTTCCCACAACTTTGCAAGTGAGAATGGGGTTGGCAGTATTATGATATTACAGCCAAGGTCCCAGGAATGCCCGTACTCAACCCTATCACCTATCCCCTCCTCCCATGGCTGCGGTCCAGGTCCTGTTATCAGGACAGTGGGGAGGCAGGTCATGTGATTGTCAGCCCCTCCTGAACAAAAAGGATGTTTGACAGATGGAAGCAAGAAGGGTCGCCATTGAGAGAACACCATATGCAGGAATAACAGATGAACGCAGGGGCATGCCCGCCAGCCTGAACAGCTCCTGAGAGCCAGGGGCTAAATTTTCATGAAATGTGTAAGCCGGCTGTTAAGTACTGCCATTATTAAAAATTACACTTTATCAACTTACAATGAAGCTTTATTTAAAACTAAGGTAACAGACACTCAAAATCTACCCCGTCCTAAGTATTTTGCTACATCTTACAATGACCTATGTCCTTGAGGTTATTTCTGTTGGTATCTGTATGAGGGTGGGCCAGGGCGCCTTACTTCCTAATAATGTCCTGCTGGTGATGAGCAGCTGGCTGCAGTGGGAGTTGTCATGCCCGAAACTTGACAAATGCACAAATTAGAGTCGTTCCTTCCCCCACCCGCCTCAGCCAAAGCGTTGGTTGTTAAACATTTACTAGCACTCCACCAGCTAAACAGGAAATAAAAGTACCGCTTTGTTGATCACTGAACTGAAGGTGAGCTGCTTCGAAGCCTGGCAAGTTGAGCTGAAGGTATCAATGAAGCTCCTAGTTCATGTGCCCCCTCAGTCCACACCTGGAGGTGGGGAGCACCTGGCCGGCCGGGTCTGCTCAGGAAGGCAGGCTTTTCCTTGCACGAGGCCCTCACGGAGCACCGGTGCACTGGCTTACAGATGGAGTGAGCCTGGCCACTGGTGAAGCAGGGCCCAAGGAATGTCCTGGACTCTGACCAATCAGATTAGCAGCCTCTACTTTCGGGAAATTAGGGTAGAGGGAGGGCAGAGGTGCCAGCCGGCAGGGGTAGGACTGAGGTCCTTCTGAGTTCAGGATGGGATCTCAGAAGTGATCTTTTCCCCGGGGTTGTTTAGTGAAGTTGAGGAAGGGAATCACGGACAAGCGAGATTATGCCTGGAAGCTGAGTTATTGGCAAGCAAGCACAAAGCTTACAAAGCTGCCAGCAGGGGAGGGCAGGGGTCCCGAACAGGGTTGCTAATGAGGCTCCTTGGTCTGGGGGGATATAAACCTGCTAACCAATAAGCCCCCTTGGTTCTCAAGGCCCCTCGCTTCTTTCCGCCTTGTTCTTCCTCTGGCCATGTAGCTAAGCCACTCTGCCTACCCCCTTTCCTGTCATTTCCCCGTTTGCATATCTTTCTTTTTTAAAAACTCTGAGAACATCGCGCTGTAGCCTGATGTTTGGCCTTTAAGGTTTGGCCAAGCTGCCTGTTAGTTATTTTTCATGTGAAGTTAGTTGCTAGTTATTTTCTACCTGATCCCTGTCCTTTTCTGTCTAGGTGTCTCTCACTTCTCTCACTTCCTCTCCAGGGGCAACTGTTTTGCCCAGCATGGATTATGAAACCTGATAGCGCATGTAGCCAGCTATTAATAGCATGACCCTTTCATCGAAGATCTGCTAGTCCAAGAGAAATAGAAATGTCAAGTGTGATGGGAAAACCTCCAACTACCTTATCCAAGTGATCTGTGCCCCACACTGTGGCCAAGGGGGTCAAGCAGAGGCCTGGCTCCTTGGAGAACAAGGAAGAGAGAGCTGGTCACCACTTCCAGGCTTTCTGTCTCCCTGGAGGGGAACACCAGGGGGTGCCTCATGGAACACAGCCTCTTTCCTTTCATCAGTGTCTTGATTTTGTAACCAACCAGATACGCGACCTTGGGAAAGTTATCTGGCCTCTCTGAGCCTGTTTCCTCATCTGAAAAATGGAGACACTGCTCTCACAGGATGGTTGGGTGGGGGACCACAAAGTGGTAGATGTGACACTTCCCCCGACAGGGAGTCATCATCATTATTATTTTCCAGTGTGTTTAGGACAC